TATTTTTCAGCTTTGGGGACCAAACGGCTGGCGTCAGAAGAGTTTGTTAATGAATGGGATAATAAAAGGTTGCATGCTGGAGATGTAGGAAATCATTTTCTGGTAAGACATCATGGACAGGTGCTATATGTTAGGCACCACTTGTCAAACTTAAAATTTTATTTTGTTATCGGATATGATGCATGAGCACTTGTCAGGTTTCTGAGCAACTAGGTGAATCCAGTTATGATGAAGCACGTGGACTCTATTCTAGATACTCAAGTTGTAACATGGCAAGACTGCCACCTATGCAAGCAAATATTCATCCTGCCCAGCTAGCACCAATGCCTCCAATTCTTGGAAAAGGGTAATAATGACTTTCTTTCTGATAAAAAATTCTTTCATTTCCATTATTTTGGAGATGTCCTTAAATTAATTTTATTGCTGAGCATGACATACAATCACATTATTCAGTAATATCTGCTTCTGTGATCATTTTTTGGTCAACAATTGGCTGTGTAGATAACACATAACAATGTAACAGCTTCCAAGTTGTTCAGAATGCATGCAAAGACAAATGGGAATACAGTTGCTCGGAAATTTTCAGCACTAATTGCTCAACAAATGAACAAGTAGTTTAGGACACGTTTTAATAATAGTCTCCAAACCACATGTCTTGCATCCTCACGTTTTTTAGATAGTGAAAGTTGCAAAATCTAAATCATCCATTGCAAAAATCCTTTTTTTTTTAGTCGAGGTCAACAAAATCTAAATCTATCTTACCCCGCTGCTTTATGTATTACACCATGTGTTGGTTGTTCATGGTGTATCAGATGTTCTCCATGCTTGTACTTTGTTAGACCGAAGCTTTCCTTCTACTTCACCTTCAGTTAAGTACCATAGTTTTACATGCCCTACTAATCACTTTGATTTCTTAATCTTTGTTACGCTTTTCAGAGGGGTAATGTAATTTGTCCATTCTTCACCATAATGTTTCTAACTTTCATGTAGCAAAAAGGCACTTTAATACAGTGCAAGAGCTACAGGTTCACGAGTTCAAGTGGATTAATCAAACTAGAAACAAATGTTGCGAAAAAACTATAATTTGGATAAAAGCGTTGCTCATTCATTGAGGTACTGTTATTCTGTTAAAAAGGAGAAATGTAATTTTCACAATCCACAATATAATGTTTGGAGTTTCAATGCAGAACTATGTACACTTGTTACAGCAAAGGGGATATCCTGTATTTGAAACGTATTTGATATTTACACTGATTCTCAAATTGACGTTCAGTAAATTTTGGCACCACAGATATATCAAATATGCATCTAATATCAAAAAGTTAACTGAATATATGAATGTTGAGTTTCTGTTCTATTAAATTCAGATGCTTAGTATTTATATAAACTGCCCAATTTCTTAGTAATGAAAGATTGCTCATGTAACTGATAATTTTGACTTGCATGATTTGCTTATTGTTGTGTTTATGACATGGCAATATCCCAAATATTGAAAATTTGCCTTATCTGCATTTGGACTTGGTCATCTTTCTATGGATGCATATGTATGTACTGGTATTTTATATTATGGATAACTATATTTATGTACGTACTTGGTCATCTTTCTATGGATGCATATGTATGTACTGGTATTTTGTATTATGGATAACTATATTTATGTACAAATTTTCCTTATCGTGTCTGTGTTGTATCTGTGCCACATATGCATGTCCATGCTTTACGGGTCCAGAGGAAATGACTTTAATGATGCTATATTTGTTTAAGGGATCGTATCTTTCTTTTAAACCTAAGCAAATTAGAACTAGTCAAAATTTGAATTTCCCTTAGAGTGATATCAAAGAAAAAATATCCAGTCATTTTTGCTAGGTATAATCAATTTTTAATTTATGATTCCTGTATTCTTTATCTCAGGGCAAAACAATGGCGAGATGGGGACTGGATGTGCACTAGCTGCAATAACCATAATTTTGCTTCTAGATCTTTTTGCAACAGGTATTGATATGTTCTGTAGTAGATCACAATCTGATATATTTATTTATAATGTTGTATGTATGCATGTATGTATATGTATGCATACATGCATGCATGCATCATGTACGTACGTATGTAAATGCATATGTGTGTATATATGTGTGTGTGTAGGGATTGATGGTTGTGACTTGGTTGCTTATTTAGTAAAATAAGCTACCAAGAGATGAATGGTGAGGTCCACACCTTTGATGTGACAACTAGGATTGGCCTCGTCACATGTGCATCACCAGTGCATCTTTTGGTAGCTTATTTTGAAAAGGAGCCACCACCTCATGCACATTCTTTCCACATACAGATACACATGTGTGCGTGTGGATGTATGTATGTATCATACACACACACATATGTATGTATGTATGTATGTATGTATGCATGCATGCATGTATGTATATGAGGAATATGAGTATCCTTGGTACCAAGGATCAAGTTTGGTCCTTGGTACTACGTGACTTCTTCTCATGCGCTCATTCAATGGGTGAGTAATCAAGTGAGGACCATTTTCTAGTGGGTAACTTTAATTGGGCGGATGAGAGGTCATATCACTACCAAGCTCATGTTTTGTCCTTGGTACCAAGGATCCTCATTTCTCTATATGTGTGTGTTTTTATGTGTGTATACTTGGTAACATAACAATTTTAAGTGCGTAACAAATAATATTTTTCGGTATCATTTTCATATCAATACATGATACTTTTTATTTTCATAAGAAAATAACAAAAAATAATAAGTTCCCACAATAATCCTTTCAAAATTGTTCTCTTGTAGTCTCATATTTTGTGTGATTTGGGGCGCCTCTTAAAATTATATGGGGCATCTATATAAATATGTATACCCTTTTAATAAAAATTTAAAACTTTGTGGGGGCAAGTGCCCCCAGAGCTTTGTAGATGGGTCCATCCTTTCTATGTAGGGTGAGAAAGCTTCACAAGAAGAGTCGACTAAGCTTTTTAGTTTGGATGTTCACATCATGCAATGTTCTATTGCTTGGTCTAGGTTCAGTCCTATTTAAACAAAAGAGGCTCGACTTAATAGTTATTAGATAGGTCCGATTTCTTCCATTCCATTTCAACTCATGCGATGCAATCAAGGGGCCTTCCTTGATAGCTTCTTTGATGAGGTAAGATTACAAATTTTGCCATAGGGATCTTTATCATATCTGAGGAAAAACAGCTGAAGTTTTACGCATCTCATATTCACAAAGGCAGCTTCTTTTCCAATATCCATATTTTCTAGCTTCTAGTCAACTTGTGTGTGTGCGCGCGTGCATTTGAATGTGCCTTTCCTAGAATTTGACTTTTACTTGGTTACTCATGTTAAATATCAACTCATGTCAATAATCATAGTTTTGACTTGTCTCGCTATCAAGTAGCTGACGTCCGTTCTGGATTTTAGGCTTATTGGCCGTCATTTGACCTGTGATCACCAAGGTTTGGCTACAATTCAGATGATACTTTACTTGGTCTCTCTAGTGCACTGTATAGACACCCATTTAATGGATTGGTAAGGGATGAAATTGATTTGTTTCCTTTATTGTGAGATGGCACGAGAGGTTAGATGTAATGAGAGGAATTAGAGAGAGGGTCTATTTAGTAATCGTATTTTTTCCATCACCGTCATGTATCACATATCTTGTGAATCACGTATAGTGCCTGACGAAGTAGGTTAGGTTTGGTTGAAACCTGTATGTGTCTCCTTTTTTGCATATTCTAAGCTGCTTGTCATGTTCTCTTTATGCTTAAAGCCTGACGAAGTAGGTTAGGTTTGGTTGAAACCTGTATGTGTCTCCTTTTTTGCATATTCTAAGCTGCTTGTCATGTTCTCTTTATGCTTAAAGCCACGATTAGTGTGGTGGCAATGTCTGTTCTCTTGTTGTCAGTTTTGTACTATAGACCATCCGGAATCTCATCTAGCCAGACTTGGGTCTTCCCTGCAAAGTGGATTCTATTTGTGAGAAACAAGGCTCTTCTTTGCTTTCCCAATTATCTTCATATTCTTCATGGAGGGAAATTTCGCAAACTACCATGAACGTTAGGGTGTTCTGCAAAAAACCTACCATCAGCCTCTTTTATTAGAGAAAACTACCATAAACTTTTTTCACTAAATAACCATGTGTGCTTCCGTATCATCTGTATTACCTTATGACTTTGTGAGTTGATATATATTAAACAGAATAGTTCTGACCTTTTATCCAATATGTGAACGCTGTTAGGAACAATTACCAATAGCTCACTCAGTTCGGAAAATTCATGGTAATTTTTTCTATAATTGAAAAAATAGTGGTTTTCACCCCCCACCCCCCAACCCCCACCCAAAAAAAAAACCAAAAAAAAGCCCCCCAAAACCCAGGGGGAAAAAGGGTTCATGATGGTTGTATAAAATATATTCTGCTTTACCCCCTTATTGTTCCCCAAATCATGGAACTTGCATCGAAATAAGTTCGACAATTAGCTTCTTTGTTGTGCACTCACAAATTGTCAGATACTGAGCATCCATAGTGAATCTTCATCACTATTTCCATTGTCCCATAATCGTGATCATGGAAACTCGATATTGATATGCTTTTGTTCGATAAGAAACTTCTTCTAAGCAGTCACAAGTGGTTTGAGCCTGTAGATGTGTTTCTTTGACAGGTGTAAAACTGAGAAGGAATCTGCTACTTAGCCTGCGAGCATTGGGGAGCTTTGTCGTCTCAAAGGGCATGATATATTTCTATAGTTTCGTTGCTAAGATTTTGGCTTCTCAAAGTAGTTTTGTGAGAGTTAGTTGTATTCATCAGTAATTGTTCTCAAGGTGTAATGGGTTCTTTTGTGCTCGATGCCTGAATAAAATTTCAGTAGCATTTCTCTATTATCTTATGTTTTTTTCGGGTTAACTCTTCATATCTGCAGCTTATGTCTTTTAAAAGATGCATTTTTGTAAGGAAAGTTATACTACCAAAAAGAGTTACAAGTACTGAGAAGTTTTGAACAGCACTGTGTGCCAGTGGCTTTTGCATTTTTGTTAAATTAGTTGTACTTTCTACTCTTATGTGACTTTAGCTTAATATTCATAGTATATGAGTGGAAGCTGGGAGTAGGTATCAATAAATGAGCCTGTTCGTATTTTGCTTGGTTCCCGTTTTTGCTTGTTTTTAACTCGGCTCATACTTGGATCAGTATATGTACAATGCATATAGGAATATGTGCTATCATCTTATGTACATGTTGATATTCTATCTTATAAATCCTCACCTAATATCAACGTTATGGGCTCTTTGGTTTGTGGCTAAAAGAAAGTGCGGCAGACGCTTGCATTTGTTAAAGGAAAACCATTTAAACTCCATTGACGGGGTATTTACAATTTTTTTTATTGTGAAAAATGGGCAAAAATATCAAATTAGTATATTTTATTTATCCTTAGTGACAGTTTGGCATATATATTTTTTCGGTGACATATTGGTATATATTTTTTTCCTTCAGCGATAAATGGGCTTTAAGTTTGACCGGATCCAATTTACGGTGATTTTTCTCACGTGATGCAAATGTGGCGTCAACTGACTTCCAGCGTGGTTGGAGTTAGCGGAGAAGAGGTGAAGGGTTTCTATAGAAAATCCCCCCACCCCACCCCACCCCAAATTCTCTTATTTCCCTCTCTTCCGCTTGAGCATGAGAGCGTGATCATCCCTAAATTGCAAACGATCTAAGTGAATATCTTCCATCTACATTAAGGCCGAAGAGGTTATTAGGGTTATTTCATCATCTTTGGCGCAGCGAAAAAGGTGAGTACAAATTTCATATTTTGAAACCAATTTTAGTAATTAGATGGTCATTTAGGATGACTGGGGTTACTTGATGGGTTGAAATTCATGGTTTAGTGTAAATTAGGGTTTTTCATAGTAACAACGTGTCAATTACAGATTTTACGTGTTTTTTGTTGTGAAATTCAATTATGATTACGATTTATTGTATAATTTAGTGGTTTGATTGTTTATTTGTGTTTGTGTGTGTGGGGGAGGGGGGTTGATTGTGATATTTAGGTCTTTTGCTTGTCTAATTTGGGGGTTTTAATTGTGATATTTAGGTTGTTTGCTTGTCTAATTTAGGGATCCTGAAGCAATTTATTTTAGTAGTTTTTTGTATTTAATTCGTAATAATTTTATTGCATATGGGTGTCAATATCATAATTAAAATCAGACATGGAGGAAATTTCCCGCTTGGCTATGTGAAAGATTATATTGGTGGTAGATTTGATGTTAGATTTATAGACAAAGACGAACCGAATAGAGAATGACTGAATGATGAGGTTAAAGCAATTGACTATAACAATGTCAACTGCTTGTTCCACTGTATTCCTGGTGTAGGAGTTGGTAATGGTGGATTTAGGTCTCTAAATTCAGAAGATTCCTTAATTGATATGGTAGAACATACGGAAAGGGTGAATGCAATTGAAATCTTTGTTGATCATGTAGTAGATGAACCTGTAGAAGTTTTTGTGGACGCCGCTGATGTGTTGTTGTTGGATGGTGTGAGTCAATCAATTGATGAATCAATAACTCAACTAAGTCAAGCACAAGCACAAGAAGCTACTACTATTGATGTCACTACTACTAATGCCACTCTTATGGATGATAAGGCAGATGTGCATGCGCAACAAGCAACCACCAAAACTCCTAAAAAGAAAGTGACACTAGGAGGAAGAAACGAACACCTAAGAGAAAGGGAACTAATCCTTCAACTTTCAGGAAGAAACTAACACCCAAGAGGAAGACAACCAATCCTTTAACTAATTTCAATAAAACTCTGCCACAATAAACAAGTGCTTCAGCCTCTTTAGATAAAATATCAAGTGTACAACAACAATCAACTTCATCTAGTGATAGTGATGACTCTGTGGAGGATGAGAATTACAAAATTAACCCTAGGAAGGTAGTGAATGATGATGATAGTGATAAAGATGATCTTTTTGATGAGTTTGGCAATATTGGCAAGGGGAAAAAAAGAAGATTGTACAAGAGAAAAAAAGATTGGTGGCTCTCACTTTGAAGTTCAATTTAGAAATGATGATGTTTTGCCCAATGTACAAAATAAGGAGGGCAATGATAGTGTGCCTGAACCAGATAATGAAGCTAGGGAGGCAATGAATGATGATGACGGTGCCCACAGTGATGATTCCTTTCAAGCTGTAGATATTGAAGCTCAAGAAACACTATGTAATGAAGATGAAGAATTGAATGAGATTAAGCAATGCAATAAGGAGATTTTAAGTAAAGAGATGGGCAACATTATTGTACGCTCTGGTGCAGTATTGGGAGAAGGTGTTGATGCAGACCCTTCCATGAGTTTTAACACTGTTATACCCCCCCCTAGAGTGGTTAATGCAAATATGTGACGCCACTGTTTTTACATATGGCTATTGTCCAAGATGAACCCAGAGATGTCAAACCTGCCATGCACCCACACTGTGCAACAACAAGTTTTACCAATCACAGGAATATCCTCTAGTGGAATCAAAATAAAGTGCAGGTACAAAATATGCAAAAGAAAGGAAATAACTACAATAGACATGATATAGAAAGAAGTATCTCATAAATAAATCTTGTCTTAATGAACAACCTGGAATACATCTGATATCCAAAATGAATAAATATGTGTCGACAAGAAACAACTAAAAATCGTACTAAGGCACACTGTCTTTATACTTTGAAATAAACTCTAAGGTCTGAACAAAAATATAAAACTACGGTGGAGCCTCTAATAAATCTCATGTGACGGCGATTATGCAAGAACTGCGTCATCCTGCGACTCTCTGGTATTCCGAATTACCTGAAAGAATATTAGAAGAAAAAGAGCAACAACAAGAGCGTTAGAGCACTATAGCAAGATCACCTCTATCTGCCCCCAGGGGAAGGGCTGGAGTGGAGGCTCTATCTATTAAGCATAGTCTATCTAGATTATTTCCCCCTATATCTAATAGAATTAATATTTAGACACCTACAATACGAGACATAGTACGTCGAGCGAAATAATCCAAACAAGGAAACCCTCATTTATATACTATATGTCCCAAATTGTAAACATCTAAACATTAATACCGAATAAAGATAAACAATCTAAATAAAATCAACAATTAGAAATCCACAACAAGAGACTGGTACATCGAACAAAATAATCCAAACAAAGAAACTCTCATGTATATACCATATGTCTCAAATTGTGAATCGCTAATTATTGATCCTAACTAAGAAAATAAAGACTCTCATGTATATACCATATGTCTCAAATTGTGAATCGCTAATTATTGATCCTAACTAAGAAAATAAAGAAAAACAGTAAAAGAAAGTAAAGATCAAATTGTGAATCGCTAATTATTGATCCTAACTAAGAAAATAAAGAAAAACAGTAAAAGAAAGTAAAGATATTAATATATCATATTCATAATATCTTCCACTGTCGCTGGGAAGATAGAATGAATACCGGCACAAATCCAGTGTACTTTCAAATACAAAATACTCTGGGTTATATATTTCAGCAGTGAGTTAAAAACATAACAGATATCCGCTAATGACTCGGGCTATCATTTAACTATCTCAATGTAATTCCGTGCAAGATTTTAATACTTAGCATTATTATGTGCAATGGACTACCCTGTAGGTATCCTAATCAGTGTACACGGCTCATTAGTCTCAGTGTGATCTCAGTACGTAACATGAGTGCGGAACGACCTACCATATAGGTATCCTAAAAGTACGGCTCACAAGCCTCATCTTACCCTCGTGCGAATGGACTGCTAGATAAAGCATCCAAACCCGACTCAATGGTCTGTACAAATGGAATATCGATGCACTACCCCCGTAGTGCTAAACTGAGCTCATCAACGATATCCAGAAGGTGTGTATAATATGTACTAAAATCTTTCTCAAAGTAATCGGGTCAAAACCCATCATAATTCCTTTCAGCATACCCATGTGTGTGCTACTACGGTCAAAACCCATCATAATTCCTTTCAGCATACCCATGTGTGTGCTACTACACTATTCGTGAATTTACGTATAAAGAAGTGCGGCTCGAAACCCGCAAACATATCTCAAACAGATGCAAAATAAAAATTCAGGCAACAGCTTTAGTAGTCGACTACTAGGCTTAGTAGTCGACTACTAGGCTTAGTAGTCGACTACACTAAGTCCATCCAGACTCTGTAATAACATATATCAGTATTAGTAATCAACTATTAAGAACATTAGTCGACTACTCTGTAAACACACAATTTCTATTATACTCAACTAGGCACGAGTAGTCGACTACTCTGCAAACACACAATTTCTATTATACTCAACTGGGCACGAGTAGCCGACTACTAAGCTTAGTAGTCGACTACTCTGTCAAGATACACATTCTTTCGTGCACAAACAATGCTTATATCAATTGTACATGTCATGACATTAAAACGAGATTTTATACTTAGCATATGCAATAGAAATTATCTGAATTATCAAATTAAATTATTATATCTTACAAATTAGGATTTAACATCCTAATTAAATAATTTCTTCAATTAGCTCATATGTAAACAAAGTGATTATCAACACATGATAAAAACTACTCATGAACAGAGATAAAATTTATTTAAACATGTTTATCTTACTTATATATTACAAACCTAACGTTTAAGCATGATTAATTAACATGAAAACTCAAAGAAACATTCATGTAATATATCAATTATTTCAAATCAGCATATCTGTAGTTTTTTACAGAATATATCATTAGTAAATTGAACATATCTTTCTCTAGACAAACTATTTTTAAGAATAGTTTTCTGTTTTAGAAACTAGATCGACATAGCTATAATTTGGCACTAGTTTGGTTCAGTTTGGAGTTTATATGATATCTCAAATTTCTAGTTAAAGGTTACACATGTGCAGCAATTGTCTGCAGAATATGTCATTACTAAATTGAATATATCTTTCTCTATAAAAACTCTTTCTTAGAAT